CAAAACGTCGATCGTGTTTTCCGTTTTTTGCTTGGGCACGTTGTTCAAAACCGAGAGAAATGTTTGAAACAGCGTTCTCCAGCACACCATCTGCTGTAAAACCCTTATTTAGAGACCACGCGAAAGAACATATTCAAATGTACAATAAGAACCGAGTGCTCACTTTTGCTACACTTTTTACGGAAATGATAGCAGAAGAAAGAAGTTTTAGTCAAAAAACATATCAAATTTAGGAAGTTTTCAGTTTTTCCGCCTTTCATATAATTTACGTAGTTCTCTTGATTGAAGGTCTAAAACTAAAGTTTGAGTATGATTTTGTAGAGTATTTCGTGGCGCATCTTTAGAAAGAAACACTAATCTTAGGATCATAAAAGAACACGAGAAAAATAGAAAATATCATTCGTTATGACGCTCCAGATAGAAACTTCCATAATTCTATAACTCATAATCACCCTATGGATTACCAGTTATACCCGTTAATTCCGTTTTCGATGAGCTTTTATTTGGTATGTAATTCATTTTTATATCATTTGTCGTTGGAGCTGTACCCCCCTAGCAAAAGGTTATGCATCACTCTGTACATAACTCGTAAATATCAGCTCGCAAAAGTGAACTGTTTTAAAAATCAATTTTCTATTTAATTTACAATGACAATACATACCACACCAGCAGTTATATAAATTTCATTTGAACTATTTGCTCCTTCATTTCCTTCAATATCACCATAGACTGTTAATGCTGCTAAATTTCGTTCATTTTTAACTGAAACAATTATTTCCACACCCTCATTAATTTGTATTCTTGTTCGACCATGTTGTAAAAATGATGCATCAGCCATACCAATTTCCAGTCCTAGAGTAAATATTTTATATTTACAAAGGAAAAATATGCTTAAATTTTTTACATACCAACTTCGGCATCGATAAGATCAATAACATGAGAAACAGAGAGAATATGCCATTGTTCACATTTTGAATTAATATCACACGTACATTTATCATATTTAAAATAAACTTGTAATTCATAAAAACTTTGTATACATCCACATTGATTATCGTTATAAAGTGCAATCTAAAATAATTATCAATAATAGAATATTACACGATCGTCATATTTTTATATTATTTACTTTTGTTTTTCGTTTAAAACATTCATCTCTACATTGTTTCCATTTGTATTTACCAGCAATAATATATTGATGAAATCGATCACCTTTTGGTTTAAGACATCCAATTTCAATCAGATCGTATGAAACTTTAGATTAAAAATAAAAATAAAAATAAATGAATATATTTTAACTAGAATTTTTTATTTTTTTTATTAAATTATTTTAACGTACCATCTGCAATTTCATTCGGACTTAATATTCGTTCATAATATTGAATTTGATCAAATATGGCTAATCCACTGTTATTTGCATATACTTGTACTACTGTTGGATGAATATTATATTTAAATACAAATAATTCTGTATAATTTTCTACTTGTGTTTCTCGATAGAGATATCCATCAAAATGAACATTTAAACGATGATTATTACTTTCCGACATTGAAACAACTATAACAACATCAATCCATTGATTTGTCTCTAAATCAGCTTCCAATTGCCAATAGTAACCAAATTGATCATTTCGAAATTCTTTAATACCAAATTCCAAATAAGATGTATTTTTACTTTGATATAATTGAACTAGAAGACCATCACCATGTGGTTCATGAGCTCCTGTACTCAATAGCAAATATTTTCGTTCTTTATCAACAATAGGAAATTGATTTAATTTTAATTTCATACGTAGAGACCATCCAGTAGGACACATTTCCAAACGTCTTAAACATTTGAAGTCATAATTGGGTATTCGGTAATAACCATCCGATTTATTTGCTTTATGATTGAGTAATGGTACACCATTTGTGAGATCATTGGCAGTTTCTGAATAAAAGAGAATATTTTCGGTCTATCGTTTTATGATCAAAGTGATATATCGAAGAACGCTCGTTTCTCTAACTAAATATAACTCAAAGAAATTGCTAGAGATCATCGCTCTTTCTTCGTGATCTAGGCCGTTTGAATTTGTTTAATCTTTGCTCACCGTAGCAAAAACATCATCTAAACTTTTAGATGAACTTGGCTTTATTCTTCAAATGAAATCTTCTAAATTTACAGAAAAAAATGAGCTTACCTTGCTGTGACAAACCGTAAAACAGACAAGATGACAGACAAAACACTAGAACAAACTTTAATTCCATGATATGAGCAAAAAATCTCAACATATTATCATAGAAGTATGTTCGTCTGAACTCATACGAGTAAACTTTAAACTTTTAAATGTCTCTTAATACTGATTGTTGTTTTGTTTTTTCTTTTTCACTAACAAAAATCATTTAATTTGCGTCATACAAATAAAATATTTTTTCTATGAACATGTAATAGTTCTGTTCACAGTTTTCATCATCGATCTCTTGTGAATATCTTTTTAATATATGAAGTCAAATCTTTAGAGAAATACTTTAAAATATTATAGTTTTTTGTGAAAAACATTCATTTTCAAGGTAAAGACGTCATAATTTATCAGCAAATAATGTTACAAAAAACATGAAATTTTGTTTAAAAACCTATTATGTTTTTGGCATATTATAAACATATTATGTACCGAAAAACTTGTTAATCAAAAACTTTGTCTATATATCGTGCAATTCGAACATATAATTATACAATAAGATGTTTGAAAACATTTTGCACGCAATGCTTGCTCTTTATCATTTAACATCTACCAATCACTTCAGATTAAACGCGTCTTACAAAAATCTGATCTTCTAGAATTTCTTTATTGATTACATATATTTTCTATTCACTATTTATTTAATGAAGATGAAGTGCCTGTTACAAATACGACTGTTTATTATATATAGTTGTAGAAGATCGTTCAAATGCTTGTTAGAAGTATCATGCCAAGCATATATAATTTTGTTATTGAAGATCTTTCTCAAAACTGACTTGTTCTAGTTTTCTATTCAACGTATGATTAGAATTGACTCTTGACTTGTCGAAGAGATATAAACAGCATGAAAGAACGAATATAGGGATTACACATTTCATAGAATGAATTATACATTTACTTTTGAATAATTAAATACAAAACTGCATACATACATTTGTCTCATAGATTCTAGTTTATCATTCGTATAAATTTGATTTGTGTTTTGCTTTTAATATGTTCATCTCCATTTTTGTGTTTCTGTATGTGTACTGTAGAGATAAGAAAGAGTGTCAAACACGAATCATTGATTTTTGTTTAGAAAGGTCATTATAAATTAATATGTTGAGTTATTCTTCCTGTTTTGTTGATGATAAATTTATTTTTACTCGTTACATTTCGACATTGGTAACGTCTTCTTCGGATAAAATCAGAAAAGATCTCGGAAGAAAAAAAAGATAGAAATGATTTTGGAAAAATGTCAATTAAACATTTCTGTATACAAAATCTCGGAAAAATTTATTTATTTTTTTATTCTGCAGAAAAGATCTTGGAATAATTAATTAATTAATTAATTAATAGCAAAGACTCTCACATCCGCTTACATTCGACCTTTTTTTTTCGATAGTCTTTGACAAAATGATTCTTCTATGCAAAACATTTTGCAACACTTTGTTATTCACAAGAATATTCTCAGACAAAATTTTTTTTGCTAAAATTGATAAGATTCTTATCGAAATGTTATCAGTTTCTTAGATAAGATTGTTTAAGATTTCCCGTCGACAGTCGTAAGTATCTTATAAGAATCTTATAAGATTTTCATAAGAGGTTTCGAAAGAAATTCATAATAAGTGTCAAAAATTCTTATGTTATTCTTATTTACTAAAAGGCAGCTTATGAGTTAGTTTTGCTGATTTCTGTTCTGATTAAGTTTCTTCTATTGACTGGAAAAGTTCATAATAATTTTTGGTGCTTCTTATGAATTTCTTTCGAACCTCTCATGAAAATCTTATAAGATTCTTATAAGACACTTATGACTGTCGATGGGAAATCTTAAACAATCTTATCTAAGAAACTGATAAGATTCCGATAAGAATCTTGTCAGACACTGGTAAGAGACCTAGACGTTTCTGGTAAGATTCTTATATAAGAGTCGATGTGTAGGAATGGCACAAATGTAAAAAGAAAGGAGAACAACTTCAGTTTTCTAGTCTCTTTGTAATGCTAATTTAATTTTTTTTCAACTTCCTCTTTTTCTTCGTTTACCAATAAGTTGTGGAACAGGTCTTGTGCCCCACATCATCGTTAAACCAATTGCATGTATACATGAGCATTCTTTGTAATCATATCTACATGAGCAAAACCATGGTGGTAAAAAACGTGGATAATTGAGCAAACGAGATGATGATGACCAACGAACGAATTCAACAAATGATGGGCAACCTGTTGAATTTCCCATGTGAATCCATATGGATACATTTATATTTTATTTAGTTTTCACTGTCGCATAACAGCACCTCATTCCACGTACGACGTAGCATTTTTAGGTTCACAGTTAAAATGAAGTTGAAAATGATGTCTGTTATATAACAAACATAAATGTCACATGTTTTCGTTCCAAACTATTCATTATTCCAAGATCTTTTATTTTTACATTCGTCGTCTTCAGACAAAAACATTAATGTACGTTCTGAAAAACATGCAGTAAACTCATGTCACCAAAAATCAATAAAACGTAATATTGTCATAAATATGACAATAAGAATCGTGAAATAGACGAAGAAATCAAATGAATAAAAAGATGATTTAAATGTATTGAAAAGTATGTTGACAAGTTCAAATTATAAACCAAAAGAAATTGACATATTAAGACAACAACAACGATGAAAACAACAATAAATGATAAGAAGAAGAAAAGTAAAAACGTTGAGATGAAGTATTCAATGTGTTTACCCATTGAGGTACAAAAAAGAAAGTTGAAAAAATTAAAAATCAATTTATTCTTCTCATATTCAAACAAAATCCAATCATCATTCAATTCGGCGATCAACAATAAATTCAAATCAGTATTGTACCAAATATCGTGCGATTGTGTTTGTGTGAAAAAAAAATTGTTTTTGGAAATCGTATGAAACAACATCAAAAAACAATCGAAAAAAGATGTATGTGAAAAAAATATATGCAATGTATGTTCGATCCATCAAATGCATTCATCATTGGTAATGAAATTAACAGAAACAAAAAGAAGGAATCTATTCAAATATAAACAATTCAATTAATCGTCGATACGATATTAGCATTAATTATGGAACCCGATTATTTATTCATCAAAAACTACAATCAAAAATAATATTGAACTGAAAATAATCAAAAATTTGACTATTCACAATATCAAGGACAAGACGGTAATAGTGGATTGGATGAAGAAGACTCATAAATCACTCATCCAGTATTATCGTCTTGTCTGATTTACTATTAATCAAAGAAATTAAAATATATAAACAGTTTTATTTAAAATAGTTTACTGCATGTTGTTTCAAAACGTACATAAATTTTTTTATGAAAAAAATGACATCATCGTCGAAATGTAACAAATAGAAATAAATTTATCATCAAGAGTAACTCAACATATTAATTAAAACACGAATCGTATAGAGTTATTGGATATATGTATCTATATTTTCTATGTAAGGTTCAATCTATAGTAATAACAAAATTTTTAATTTCACGAAAAAGAAATAATTGAGTATTTGTAATATTTTTTTGGTTTCAATAATCTCTTGCATTCAATTATTCATATGGACCAATATTAACATTTAATTATTATTTGGTATTATTATTGAATAAATCATTTTGTTTTAAACATCAATGCATACCATAATATATTGAACTTCTATGAACACTATATTTAAAACTTAAGTGTACAGCTTGACTATATTATTCATCTTGTTCTTGAAAGCTCACTTCTAAATCTCAGGAGAGTTGTTAAAATAGAGAAATAGAAGAATATATTAAACTAATACCTACATCTTCAATATTGTCTGAATAAGGTGACACATACAAACTCAATCAAAAGTAAAATAAGTTAATAGCTATTTCAGAATGAAAAAGAGACTAAATAGTCTAATCAACATTCACTTTTATACAAAATAATGGATACAGCGTGTTTACAAATTAACCATACACTTTAGTTTTCGATTTCGATCTCCTCTATCATAATAGCTAGAATAAATCTACAAAAAGATTTGAATAGCTGAAAGAGTCCTGAATCTGATGTGGTACATATAAGAGATGTTGATGATCCAGATCTCTGAAAAACCACTATGCTAGAAAACGAAGTCCTCAAAAATCGATTGAAAAACTTTAGATATTGTTTTCTTTTGTACACGGTGAGATCTATCGTAAACTGAATGCAGTTTCGCGAAAAAATGCCGTGGTAAGCTCAGAGACATCTCATTTTATTCGAAAACGTTTGGTCTATATGATGAATTTGTTGTTTGCAAAAAACGTTTTCAATCGATTTTGAGTCCTTTGTTATTTAGCATATTGGTTTCCAAATTTTTTCTATAGAAATTCAAATTTCTTATAATATTTTTAAATATTTTAAAACATTTATTACGTTCAGTGCGTGTTAAAATAAGCTGTTTTTCTTTTAACGTTTTTGTGCACCTAGAAGTTTTAAGTTAATCGAATAAAATTCCGATAGTTTACAAATAAAGATAAATTCTCAAAATACAAGTTGAAGTATGCGTATCTCGAGATTGCTTCGATATAAATTGGAATATCAGTTGCTTGCATAGAAAAAAATATTCCTTTGCAGATTTTGTCGTGTTACAAAGCATAATTGAAATGTCGTGTCAGAAATGCGACGTGACTATGGGCACTTGTGTAAATGTCTTTCAAGATAGTACAGAGGATTTATCGTAAAATGTGTCCTAGTAACAACTACTTTAGAACAGAATACACCGTATATGCGTCACGTCAGTTGTGCCATAAAATGTATCTCTGATGAAACGTATCTTTATACCTCAAATGTACCCTAGTCTTTTTTTTTGTTTATCTCTTCGTTTGCAATAACATGTCTATATAATAAACTCAAAATTTTATTTAGAAAAATTGAAAATGTTTTCGATATAATTCATTAATAAAATGAATCTCGAATCTGAGTAATTCAATCCAGTCGTAAGAAAAATAACTTCATCGACTAAGTGACGTGATTTCAAGTAACTTACACAAGTATTTGATAAATTTTGTAATTAAGATAAACAAGCCAAATTTGCCAATGGGTCAAATAATACTATGAAACTTTTTTCTCTATTAATTGATTGAATATATGTGAGTAATTGTGATATATCGGTACAAAACCAGATGAAATTATTTATATAACGATATTTAGAAAATGATCCATTTTTAATCTCAAAGTATTAATTATAGTTCTAATGTTCAACTGAATTGTTTAATGTCATATTTGCATTTGGTATCGATTTTAATTCAAGTCGATTTGAAACCTATACATTGGGATAATGAAAGTTTTTTCTTGCATCAGTCTGCATTGTAGAGAACGAGTGTCCATTGAGAAGTGAAATTAATGGTCCGTCTAGTTAGCAATCAATGGCTGAACGTTGATTGAGCGTGGGAACGGGTACCTGTGAACATTGACATCAATGTTGACATGAAACTATTTTATCCTTGATATTTTGCTGTTTTTCTTTTCTGAGTGTGGAATGCTGGTATGTCTTTTGGATTTCTCGAAAGTTTTTGATTTTGTTGATTTTTCTTTTTTGTTGGAAAATTTATCTTGCTGTAAGGTGACGGTTTCTTTGAATAAAGTCAATTTATCGGTTCTCTTACCCGTCCAATCTTACTCAGTTTGTACGTGTGAATCACTCTCTCTCTCTCTCTTTTTCTTCTGCAAGGTAGTGAGCTGACGTTTGTTTATAAGCAGTTGTATCTCAATGGTGTTTCTCTCTCTGTTGTTCTTTTTGTTCGCTGTTCTAATGTTCTTGTTTACTACGATCTGAAGTATAGCGAATACACTAGGGACATTGCTCTTGTTTGTCGATGAAAGCTGAAAACACTGGCTCGTATCTTCCCATTAGTTCCACAAGAACTTTGCTATTGAATCGTTCTTTCCTGTATTCTTTTTACATTTGACTATTGTTGCGTCTTGTATGACACTTCGCTTTTACTCTACGAATAGACTTGCTTATCTTATCTTTCACAATTCTAACTATCGTTTCTCCAGTTCCTCACTTGTGTCACAATTTAAGTCTACCACTCTCGCCGCTCTTTATAAATACTTTAGACTAAGAAATCATCTAAATCCTCTCTCTAAGTTTAATCAGCACCATATTTGGTCTCATCACCTTAGGCGTGTTCTTATATCTTCTCTTGTTGTTGATTATTCTCTCCTCCAACAGTTTTATTCTTCTTTTTTCATTCTACTATCACTGATTAGAACAAAAACTTCAGAATTATTAATTGTTGTTCTTCATTACTGTCTTTGAAAATTGCACTGTCAGTATCTCATAGGGTAAATTTCAACCATGTTTATGCTCATTCATGTTATTTATTTACTTTTACCTATTTTTTTTTCTCTGTTCGCTCTTTTTAGTCTATTGTATACTGTTTTTACTTTATGCATTCTGACTCGTCTCGCTGTTCATCACTTCATTTTTCTTCTGTCTGTTTACTATTATTGGTCTGGTTTGAGTCATTATTATTATACGTCTAGAACTTCTGATGACTGTCACCTTTCATGAATAAGTTAGTCTTGATCTGAAGTCTCTATTGTATTTTTATCCCGTAGTATTTCGAGAAGCATCATTAACTTTCATAATGTAATGTATTATTATTGATATAATATATATAATACAAAATAAACCAGCAGTGGTCTGTTTCTTACCTGAAAAATATTGACAGCTAAAACAGGATTGGTTGCTAATAACTACAAGTAAACTTTTGCATTTGTTACTCTACAATAATGTGTTTAAGAAATTGAATTTATTTTTTGACTGTGCTAAAAAATATAAGATAAAATTGAAATATTACACACTTCATTTTTCGATCACTATATACTTTACTTTCAAAATCAAACTACTAGTGCATTATAATATAATTTAAGCACATGTCGACTGATTCAATGTGATTCCGACGAGTGTATGTCAACAACAGAACAGCATATGTAAATTTGAATTACATTGACATAAAAATAATATGATCAGCTGATATTTAATATTTAACGTGATTATATAAAGTATATGTATGTGAATAACTTTAGTTCATACATATATTTTGTTTATTCTGTTAATATTGAATATTTTATTGAATTTAATATTCATTCTAGATTATTGTTATTATTTCGAATCTCATTAACTTGAGAACAAACGAATTATGTCGAAAAAACAATTAGTAAAAAAAAACAAGTTCTCTTTAATCATATTATATTAAATTAAAATTGCTCTGTCATTTCTAGACTGTACGTATTCAATCAGCAGAGGGTACAAAAAGAATTGATCTCCTACCACAAGATACATTCGCTAAACTTTATCAGAAAGTATGTACAGATTTGTTTACTTGTCTTCTACTTAATTTTATGTTCATTTTTTTTGTTTTTATTTAATTTAGACTACTGAAATTTTTACGTTGCAGTCAAACGATGGTTATACATTGTACAAAGAGAAAAATAAACAGTCGCCATTACCACGATCAACATCAAAATCAATACAAAACGCTATCCAGTACAAATAGATTATTTATTTCTTTTTTCTTTTTGTCTAGGCATTGAACAAAAATAAGCTTGACAAATTTCAAGATCTGTTAGCAAAAATAGTTCTGATTATCAACAAAATATCATACTTAGTTCTTATTAGAGTTTTCACTCTTTTGATTATAAGTCTTTATTAATCTGAATGAATAATAAGATCATATTGATTCAAAATTTTACTAAAGTCTTGACCACAGTAGAAACGTTCATGTTTTCGTACAAACAATCCTTATGATGAGAACACAGTAATACTCTTATCTTCTAGAAGAATCAGACTATTGTAATTTATCTATCAAAGATTTTAATTTCTTTCTCTTTCCGTGTTTTCTTTACACAGTTATAGCCTTCATATATCATGTTCTTTTCTATTAAGGCATGGTGATATGTTATATTTGGTTGTTGAACGAGATGATATTTTACCAACAATAACTACAAATTATGCTTCATCTCCACGTGGAATTGGTATAAAAAATGATCCAACGACAACTTCCGGTCCATCATCTTCATCTTATTCACGTAGTTATGGCAGTAATTTTACAAATGGTAATAGTTATGTCGCTGGATCAGTACCCTACGGTAGCACACATTCAGATTATCAACTATCAAAAATTGATCTTAAAGAAGATGAAGTTGATGAGCAATTAGATAAGATGGACGGAAAAATTGAGCGAAAACGTGATCCACAATTGTAAGTTTATATTTGTCGATTCAAATCATTTATTTTTTATTTTTTATTTATTTAGATGCCATCACAATGTACACGGTAAATGTATTCATTGTATACCAATCGAACCGTACGATGAAGAGTATTTGCAAAATCGCAATCCACCAATTAAACACATGTCATTTCGAGCTTATATTAGAAAATTACAAAGTGCTTCACGCGGCGATAGGTATCTACTTTTTCTTTCTTTTTGTTATGAGAACATATTTATTTATTTATTTATTTATTTTAGAAATACATTTGCTAGTTTGGAAAATATTAGTTGTTCAATAAAAGAAAGGTGTAAAACGGGTCATGCACCATGGCCCAAAGGAATATGCACTAAATGTCAACCAAATTCATTAACTTTAAATCGACAGGTATTATAACAATGAGAATTTTCTAACAAAAACAATAATTTGCTGTATTTAATTTTTAGCCATATCGTCATGTTGACAATATTATGTTTGAAAATGGAAACTTAGTTAATCGCTTTTTAAATTATTGGCGTCTATCTGGTCATCAACGTATTGGATTTTTATATGGACGATATGAAGTTTATGAAGGTGTTCCATTGGGGATTCGAGCAGTTGTTGCCGCTATCTATGAACCACCTCAAGTGAGTGCTTTTAGTCCGATAATCAAGTGTGTTGTCCAAGACATTAAAGACGTCTAAATCAACTTTATGTATAAGAGAATTTTTTATAAATCGTTTGCGATTTCTTATCTAAAAGTAAATCAGAATCATCTGAAGTAGTGGGCTAATTCTATCTAAAAAAATGAATCTTTAAAACAAAAAGAAAACAGCTAGAGCGCAGAATGAGAGCAATTCCAAATAACAGAAAAGTACCTTACCAGAGTGATAGTGACATGAATCTCAGAGCCTAGAGGTTTTCGAATATGTTGAATCCAGTGACGAAGTTAGTCTTCGAAAGTTTTGACTCTGATAATGGAATTCTAGAAAACTTGATTTTGAGCTGAACGACTTAGGAAATATGTTTAAAAATATTTTATTTTGTTTTATATTTTTTTTTCGATATCAGCATCGAATAGAGCATACTTTTGTACTTTTTGAAAGAAAAAATATTTTCTTCTGTGGGATTCTGAGAGATTTTTTCAAAAACTGACTTTGTCACTGGATTCAACATGTTCGAAAATCTCTAGGCTCCAAGATTCAGATAGGTGCCATTTCAAGTCGAGGAAACATCCTAATTTTTCTCTTGTTGGAATTCCTCTCATTGTTACGTTTATACCTCTTGAAGGAAGCATTCGGGATATTAAACAAGACTCTATTCTGTTGTCTATTCAGGAAACATCTCGTGATGGCGTAAAATTAACTTTTCCTGATCCACATGAAGCACTCATAGATGATTTATCTCGAAGATTGAATATACGTCGTATTGGCTGGATATTTACTGATCTTTTACCAGATGAAACAAAACCTGGAAGTGTATTGCATCATCGTGGCAATATCGTAAGATTTACATAGAACTTTCATAAATGAAATTTACGAATAAATTTACGTTTTTTTAGGATTCTTACTTTTTAAGTGCTCAAGAATGTATAATGGCTGGCTGGTTTCAAAATAATTATCCAAATGTTTGTAAATATTCTCCAGATGGATTTTTTGGATCAAAATTTGTAACTGTTGTTGTTACCGGTATGTATATGGCAGTGTATTGTTGTAGCGTAAATTTACTACAGTTATTTGTGTTTTTATTTTGTTTAAGGTGATTCGACCGGACAAATTCATTTTGAAGGTTATCAAGTATCAAATCAATGTATGGCATTAGTGAAATCAAAATGTTTAGTGCCAACATATGACTCACCTGAATTAGGTTATGTTAAAGAAACAAGCTCTGAGCAATATGTGCCAGACGTCTTTTATAAAGTAAGTGAGTTTCTACTAGAGATCTGAACAAGCAAGATCTTTTTTTCCCGTATCCGTCCGTGCCCTTAACCCTACTGAGGATGTTTGTCTGTGCCCGTCCGTGAATTTTTTTCGTATATGAAAAATAATTTCTCGTCCACGCGTGTATATTATGTTGTCCTTTCTATAGCATGTCTCTAACTGTCTATATTTCATTCACAAAAAATTCAAATCTTCGTACCATTTTGTTTCTCAAAAAATTTAAAATATCTTTTTGAGAAGCCCGTGCCCGTCGAAGGGAAGCAATTGCCCGTCCGTATGTCGTTCGAGTCTGCCCGTGCCCGTCCATGCCTGCGGACAGTACAGGCACGCCCGCTGCCACGGAAATTCCCGTGCCCGTGCAGATCTCTAGTTTCTACACTAAAAATCAGTAATGCTTTTAAATTTTTGAAATATGTTTCATGTATTTTTTATATACCTCGTAAAATATGTTAACTTATTTTACCAAAATTATCTTTCTAATTATAGGAAAAAGATTCATATAATAATGAAATAATGAAAATTGGACGACCATTACCGTTAGAATATTTAATTATTGACGTACCGACTGGATTTCCATCTGATATTAACAGTCGTTCAACATTTAATGATTCTAGTCAATTAGTAAAAACACCATTTAGCGTAGAAAATCGAATGCAAATTGGAGAATTACAGGTATTTTAATTTTTTCCTTTAAATTTATAAAAAAAATAAATAAAAATTGTTTTTGTTTATTAGGATATGAATACATTAGCAAATTATCTAAATCAATTTCAAACAATTGGTGGTGGTAGTCGAGCAACAACAATGTCAACATCCAAATCTCAAGCATTCGATATAATGGCCGATATTCATTTTCTATTGTATTTAGCAATAAACGATATTATACCATTTTCTACGGTAAAATGCAAAAATTTATTCAATACATTATTTCATTATAAATTATTTTTTTATCATTTTAGAATCATCTTGATCCATTATTAGATGCTATTCGTGCAAATGACACAAGCGGAATTGAAACATGGATGGAAGGTGGTGACTGGCAAACAATTGTGCAAGTAATTCATTCACAAAGTAAGAAGATTAAACATTAAAGTTATCGATTAAAAAAGCTTGTCAGCAAAAACATGAAAACTTCCTACTGAACTATTGGACTATTATAGGACATGTAATAATATATCGTAATAATTAAAACATATGTCTAATAACTTTAGATGTACGTCTGTCCATTCAGTAGCCGTAAATTTCTATTGAAATTTGGTCAATCACAATTTCGCCCCGAAAGTTTACAGCTACTGATAAAAAACTCTCTGCAAACCACAAAAATCCTCGTATACCTGGCCTTCCACCCCGCCTCTTTTTGGGAAAAAATCCTCTGTTTCCTCTTTTTTCACGAACACAGTACTTATTGACGAACTAATTCGTTATTGTTGGTTCATCCAGTGGTTCATGTCATCAAGGATTTTTACTCTTGACTTCTACTAGTCGTAAAGTTCGGGTTCTTCAATCAAGTGAGACTAGAAACTCTCTCAGCACTCTAAATTAAACAATCAAATATATGTAATATATTTAAAAATAATGGTAAAAATACATATACAGGAATAACATGAAGTACGGAGACTACTTACTAACTCTGTATTCTATATGCACTCGAACTGACTATATCTGAATGTATGCTTTCATATATATATATATCCAAAGAACGAAGACATGTAACATAAAAGAAAAAAATCGACAGAGATAGCTAAAGATGATGCAATCTTTAATATATAGAATAGTAGTGATCACAACTAGACGAAAAAAAGCAATGGATGAACGAAATTTCTGTTGTTTTCTCATTTTGCGGTGCGTATATTATGAATGATGCAAAATATATGTGAACAATACTGAATTTCATTTTTCGCTGTTTCGATTCGCCATTGAACGCAGATCATAGATATACCACCGTTACATGCTTCTACACTTGCGAGGATATTTATTTATTAGCATTTTTCGCTCGAAAAAGACTGAACTCCTCTTTTCCTCTATTTCCTTAAAGTACGGATCCTCTTTTCTTCTCTTTTTTTTTACAAACTGTCAGTGGGATACCAGACGTCGTATATAAACTTTATACTTTAAACTTTCTTTTCCTTCGGAAAGTTTTCACAATAGCATGTAAAAGTTTTAAGATACAAATATCTTTTTCCATTGCCTATCTTAGCAATCTATGACGTTTCTTATTCGATTATATAAACATTGTAACATATTTTCTTTATTATTCAAGGTCCTAGTACATTAACACCGATGACAAATGATGCACGAATGGATTATGATACGTTTGATCAACAACAATCTTCGGCACAATGGAGTTGTGAGCGATGTACATTTCTTAATTCTGAATCGTCGACAAAATGTGAAATTTGTTCATTTGATAAACCACGTTAGAATGAAATTTTCTTTTTTAACTCTAGTTTTCTTTTCTTGTCTTCTTACTTTTCCCTCCCCCTTTTTATTATTATTATTATATTCATGAGTTGTATGTTGTATGTTTTTTTTTACTATGTTTATTTGCTTGCTCTTCTTACTTTTAAAAAGTAAAATAAGCATACAGAATAAATTATGTTTTTTTAAACATATTTGTAAGAAATTGTATTTTTCATTTTTTATAATTCTCTATTTTTCAATATAAAGAATCTTGTTGATTCATATTTTGTTTTACTTTCTTTTTTAGATAAAACAAGTCTTTGCACTATTCACACTTCTACACTTTCTAGTGTGAATAGATTTAAATATTTTTTTGTCTACATAGTTAAATTAAACTCAGTGATTACTTTAAAACATATCAACAATGATCTGTTAATAAAATTTATTTATTTCCATTTTTATTTTTGTTTTGTCTAAAAAATTTCGAAAATTTTTTCCTCTATTTATAATACGATGAGTGCATTAACGAGCAGACAAATCGCTAATGGTGACGTTTGTTCTGATAATAATGTACTATCACAATACAAAGTTTTAACATTAACATTTAATCAAGATTGCACGTAAGTTCAAAATGAATTTAGCAACTATATTTTTGTATTCTCTTTCGCTTTTATCTATGTCCAGATCGCTGGCTTTAGGTACAAAGAAAAATTATACATTGTACACAATTTCACAAGATAAGATCGATGAAATATATGACTGTCGTATGTAGTATTTTTATTATTTTCTCTAATAAAATTATTGTTGTGTGTAATTTTTTGTTTTAAGCTTATGACGATGTATGCATTATTGAACGTTTATTTTCAAGTTCATTAACAGCTTTAGTTAGTAATCAATCACCTCGAAAATTAAAAGTTTGTCATTTTAAAAAAGGAACAGAAATATGTTCATATTCATTTGCAAACACAATATTATCTGTTAAACTTAATCGGCAGGTAAAAATAAATCAATAGTATTCTTTGAATTGAAAACATTTTGTTTACATATGTTCTGTCATAGCTTTGGAAGACATGCATAGATTATACGAACGATATGAGCATGACCAATAGACAGGACACTGTATAAAACGAATATTTGGTCAAATATTGATCGATCAAGTCCTCTCGAAAACCCAAATCCTAAAAAATCGAGTCCCAGAATTCGACTGGAAACGTTTTATAAACAACTCTAATAACTCTCTAAGGTCATTCATAAACTGAATGTAGACTGACGAAAAAGTGTTGTGGAGAGTTCAGAGATGTCTCATTATGTCGAAAATTGCCTGCTCTATTCGGATGAGTTATTTACAAAAAGTTTTCAATCGAATTCTCGGACTCAATTTTTTAGGATTTTGGTTTTCGAGAGAATCTGATTCCAGAAATTTTGTGTATGCACTATACCAGGTTGGAAATTCTTTCAGCTATTTAAATCTTTTTTCAGATTTATTTTAGCGAGTATGGACGAGGAGAAAATAACAAAAACAAATCGTTTCTATAATTTTCTACAGGACTGGGTTGAGTCGAATAAACATTTTTTTATTATATTCATGAGTTGTATGTTATATGTTTGTTTTTTACTATGTTTATTTGTTCGCTATTTTGTTTATACACTACTTTTCAACTAGATATTCTCCGATGATCCACAGCTGCTGGAACAAAACTTTTTACGGCAATAATTAACCTATTTCTCAACGTATATTTTCCCCTATTTCAATCCAGAATAGAAACCTATAATTTCAGTGTAAAATTCGTTTTTCATGCTCATGAACGTTTCTAATAACAAATAAAGTGACATTCGAAATCAGCATGTAAAACTACATTGAATGATGTTGTTCTCAAACATTTTCTAAGATATTTTTTTTTCGATCAAAAAATCTGACTTGCGGATCCGTCTCATGCCTTTTTGATAAAAACCTAAAACTTTTTCAAAATAAGACTTTTTCCTTCCAGCATACCATTTTCATGAATAGAGGACATCGAGATCTCAACGAGAGCGGTTAAGATATACATATTCGTGATCAGCTTAAAATTCTCTACAAGATAGGCTAGGTCTCGTCTCTTTTCTAGGGGGGTCACTCAAATATGTTCTCTCGTAAGTCAAAAATAACTATTTCGAATAGTAAAAAGTAGCAACTCAATAAACTAAAAAAAGTTATCGATCGAGTTTTGTTTATTTAATTGTCTTCTTTTTCAGCGTTTGGTCGTTTGTTTGGAGGAAAGTATTTATATTCACAATATGCGTGATATGAAAGTATTGCATACAATACGTGATGTTCCATCGAATAGAGAAGGTTTATGTGCATTATCATCCAATAGCGAAAACTCTTATTTGGCTTATCCGGGCAGTTCAATTAGTGGTGAAGTTCAAATATTCGATACACTCAATCTGGTATATTTATTTTTTTTCATGATCTTTTCTTCCACTAAATGTATGTCCTCATATCTTTAGAAATCCGTGACAGTTATAGCAGCACATGACAGTCCACTAGCAGCAATCACATTTGATGTGACTGGAACTAAGGTGGCAACAGCATCGAACAAAGTATGAAAAAAATATTGTATGTAAATGATCAAATGAATCAAAAATGATTGTTTTTAGGGAACTGTGATTCGTGTTTTTAATTCTGTTGATGGTACACGTTTATACGAATTTCGTCGTGGTGTTAAAAGGTACTTTTCTCGGATATAACAAGTAAAACTTCTTACTATGTATTTTTTTTTATAGAGTAGCAACAATTTATTCATTAACATTCAGTCCAGATGGCATGTTTTTGGCCTCATCTAGTAATACGGAAACAATACACATATTTCGTTTAGCTAATACAGAAGAAAAGTAACTATCTGTAATTTCTTTCTGTTTCACATATTTTAATAATATATGTATGACTTTTTAGAGCTCCTGAAGAAACAAGTTCTTGGATGGGTTATGTTGGTCGTGTATTTGTTAATGCCGCTCATTATTTACCAACTCAAGCATCAGAAGTATTAACTCAGGATCGTGCATTTGCTACTGTACATTTACAATCTCCAGGAATGAAAACTGCCTGTGCAATGACATTGTAAGTATCTCTTTAATTTTTATTTACGAAGTGATTGACTTAATCTAAAGCTGTGTTTTATAGTATGAATAAAATACTGAAATTATTTGTTGCTGGATATGACGGAGTTGTTTGTGTTTATGAAGTGAATACTATCGAGGGTGGTGAATGTAAACAAATTGGTCAGTATCTCTTGTTTAATATGTCTGCAAATAATAACAATAGTGGAGGGGATACAGCAACCAACGTTACTACGACTGGACATCGAAATTCAATTGGTAAGTTTAGCACTTCATTTTGAACGCGTTTTCATTAAAACTACATATCTGATCCGAAATAGAATTGTTATCTGATATGCACAGTAGGCATCCACTTTTGGCCAAAAAGTGGAAAGTGTACGTTTTCCGGATTCGAAGAGGGGCGAATACACTTTGATAGATAGTCTATTGAATAGCGAAAGAATTTTTGTTCTAGATGCTAAAGAACGTGGGAAAACACTTATGAGGGAAGGTCCCCAAGTGTCACTCTCACTTTTCAATGAGACATATCCTAATTTGTAGAGCTCGAAGAGCTGATTACGATGGCATAAAGCATTTTCCCCCATGGCTCTTGAAGACCCGATTTTCTGAAAAACCAGTTTTTGAGAAACTCTAAAAAATAACTAAAACCTTTCTTAACGAGGCATAATTTAGGGCTTTTCTTGTAAATTGTATAACTTTGCAAAGAAAGGATGTATAGAGCTGTGAGATGTCTCATTTTAATCAGGAATATGCGTGCTACAATTATGCCTCGTTAAGAAAGGTTTTGGTTACTTTTTAGAGTTTCTGAAAAACTGATTTTTCAGAAAATCGCATCTTCAAGAGCCATGAGGGAAAATGCTTTATGCCATCGTAATCAGCTCGTCGAGTGCTACAAATTAGGATATGCCCGATTGAAAAGTGAGAGTAACACTTGGGCGCCTTCCCTCGTTAGCCAGAAATAGATCAAAAAACAGTCAGATTTCCGATAAAAAAATTTTAAAATAAAATTTAACAAACCTGAATTTGAACGTCAATCAGAATATAAAACTAGAATTATCCGACTATTGATTACTAAAAAAGTTTTTGTTTTCGACTTAAACTACCGAGAGAAACAAATTTAGTTTCCATGCTAACAATGTTTTCATAGCGATGTAGTCAGTATAATGAATGCACCGAGTTACGCCGTGCTTTAAACTGACTCAAATTTGGTCAAAATATTCTGCTACCTATCTCACATCTATATAATCAGTATAAGTGTTCCTGAGCTTCGGTATAGTTTATCTAAAGAAATCCTAATTTTGTAGAGCAAAACCAGAGCACTTTTTAGAAAATGTAAGGTCATATTCGGAATCAGCGCGTTGAGTTACATCGAATCATGTGTAATACAATAAGTTTTACATCGCAAAAATATCGATGGAAGCCTTTTCCCATGAATTAGCAAGACTATTTTTTCGAAAAACATGATTTTTTTCATGAAAAGCATGATTAAGCAATGATAATTATCGATGAAAAAATAATTTATGAACAAATACTTTCGATGCCTACCTGCTATTATAAAATAAAAGTGATAGAAAGCAATTAACTGTAGCAACTGCGTATAATGAAGAACTTTCTTAAGGCGACAGAATCAGGAACCTAGTTGATTTTCTCCTACTCATTACTAGGTTGCTTTCCTCATGCTTTCTTTCGCTTTTTAATTTTATTATTTTACGGAACGTCAGCTTCCATAAAGGTTATAGGTCAGAGGACACAACCGAGCTGGTGACACTTGTAACCGTTACATCTCGCCAATTTATCTGGCCAAATTGCCCGTTACATCTCGCCAATATTCTACTGTGAGCCAAATCTGAGTTATCGTTCTTGAGTTATCAAAAACACCGTTTTAACAGATTTTCCTTGATTTCTTTGATCATCTGTAAACAACTGATGAAATGTTCCCTAACTCGTGTTCTTTCGGGCACATAGTTTGCATCATTGAAGCTGATGGTGGAGTCGAAAGTCTCAAATTACATCGTTCATCGATAGGTAGTGAAGTTTCAGTTTTCTTTCTAGACGACGACTATTCGACGCTGTTTCATCAAAAAAGACCGAGTTTAAAAGGCTCACCTTAACTATTTGAAAGACAAAAATCCAAGACAATTTTTAAACGGTGATTTTGATTCTCGATTCGACACTTCTTTTCTATATCATTTCAATTCAACTCGTCAGTTTCTACTGATAAATGTGTATCGAATGGAAATAGTAGGAGTTTCAACCAGTTTCACTCTGTCGCCTTTCAGACTTCACGTAGTGTAGTTGGTGTTCTAGTGGTAGCTGTGCTACTTGATTATTGAAAAGGAAGCTTGTGCCGTTTAGAGAATTTCTAACAGTTTTAACAATGTTTATGTTAGATTAATTTTTTTCAAAATATATTATCTATAAAAATGTTTTTATTAACTTCATTTAGAAGCTACTCGTGGATATTCTTCTCTATTACAAAATGAAACATTACAACAACCAACATCGGGTTTAATAAATTCTCCACGACCTCCAAATCTTGACGAGGAGAATTTTCCACGTTTGGGTTCACCTTAGAATAACTCAGATTTGGCTCACAGT